GGGGGGGGGGGGGGGCTCCAAGTTGTGGCTGCACGACATCGAACAGGAAGAAGGTGCCCTCCCAGCGCACATCTACACATGTTTGGCCGGGATTGGTCGCAATACAGACATGGACCAACAAAAAGCGACGAAAAACAACATATTTAATGTCGACAGTGATGACAACCCTGCCTCTGCGTGTGTTTGTGTGTGTGTTCTATGATCATATCGTGTCGGGTCGGGTCGTTTCGAAAAAGAACGACCTTCGATCGGCCATCGTGAAGGAGGCGTGTGTCCTGCTCGAAAAGCTCTCCGACGCGGCCGGTAACTACATGGCCGCCCTCATGAGGGACATGCTAAACGTTCTCCTGCAGCTCTTGGCGAACGGCAACTCGGTGAGACTGAACCGCTGACACGGGGAGACAGTAGTAGTGGGACAATTGAGACAGTGGGTGAGACAGTGAGGCACCCGGGGGCGGGGGCGGGGGGACAGACGAGCGAGGGTGTGTCGGTGAGGAAGGGAGATATGAGACAGACACTAAGACAGGGAGACAGTAGTAGTTGGACATTGAGACAGTGGGTGGGACAGTGAGGCAGAGGGAGGGGGGGGGGGGTGGGTCAGACGAGGGAGGCTGTGTCGGCCATAAGGGAGACAGAAAGAGACCAACAAGAACCGCGAGACACCCACAGACGGGGGTACGCAGATAGAAGCGGGGGGACGAGAGGAGAGGAAGAGATAGAGTTGGGACAGTGAGAGAGAGGGGAAGAGAAAAGAGAGAGAGAGAGAGAGAGAGAGAGAGAGAGGGAGGGAGAAACGGGGCAGAATTTTTCGGCGGCAGCGAATGATGCTGGCGGACGCGGTACTGAGAGAGACGCCATGTGCCACCGCGACACACACGTGTTTCGTTGCAGAGCGTGCTCAACTATTCCAGACGGGCGCGCTGTACAGCAGTACTGTATTTAGCGTGTTGTGCTCCGCAGCTGACCATCCGCATGCGCGTCCCTTCACGCTTCCGCTTGCACCCCCCCCGCCCCCACCCCTCCCACGAAAACGAACAGGTGATCGTTGGGCAGGTGGACTCGTGCATGCGGCACATCATCGAGCATTCCCGTTTTCCCCGGCAGCTTAAGGAGGTGAGTGAAGTGCTGCATCCGGTCTAGATGACGAACAGTGGGAGGTGTCATGGTGTGCGTAGTAAACGACTCCGATGCGCCTTTGCTGGATGAGCCGCATCATCTGCGTTGTTCTGGCAAAAGGCATCTGGCTGGTCACTAAACGGATTTTGATTGAAGCCTCAATCAAGCCATTGGACTATTTTGTCAGCGCTGACTAGTCTAATGGTTTGATTTCGGCTTATATACATAGCCGCCGCTGGACCTTTCAGCTTGTCGGTTATGCTGCGCAGGCACCAGCAGAGGCCCTCTAGACATTTAGGAGGGCATTGCACCCCCGCGTTGGGGACTGTGGAGGCGGGACTCGCTTTGCTCCCTGACGGCCCATCGTCTATTGCATCGCGGAAACTTTTTTTGTGCTACTCCTTACTTGCCCCTCTATCTGATCGCTCCCCTTGTGGTTGATGAAGTAGATCTTGACGCTGTTTTTGTTGTATCACTTTGTTACTGCGCATGTCTCTTTGGACGTGTGTGGGTTAGGGTTAAGACAGGTTGTTCCGATTAAAAAGTTTGTATGCCTTATTCTGACGTCCCCAACGAACACCCCTGTCTGCGGACCCAATTGTTTGTTGTTGAGTTTAAATAAAACAACCATGGTTGTTGTTGACTCTATCAATCCTCGCGTATCTATAATTTGTTCGTTAAATGAACTCGATCCTCAGGTGGAGTACACCGTGAGGAACAGCCGGTCGAAAGACCTCAGGGAGTCGGTGGGGGCATACGTGCTTCTTATGCTCCGCGCGTGGCCCCCCGCGTCGATGGACAAGGAAGCGGGGTATCTGGAGTCCATCATCGCAGTGAGAGAGGGTGGAGGGGGGGGGAGTGTACCCGTATGTAGCCGTGCATGCCGTAGTCGTTGGAGTGTTGACCTTGCATCCCTACGAAGCACGCCGGGTTTTCACCGGACCAGGCTACCACATCACCAAGCGCGAAGTGCCGTGAGGTATTCGGCGAGTCGCATGGACGGTGCGCTGCGTCCTGCTAAGGGTATTCGGCACCGTGCGCTTGCTTCCTTGCATACGGAGGCAGGGGGGATCGTACGCGTTTATTTTGCGCGCCCTTTGTCATTTGTTCCCGCTCTCGTAACGTCGGAGTCACGTACGCTTGCAACCAAGAGGTGGGAGAGTTGTCTGCCTACAGCAGTGTCACAAGAGTATGGACGTGTACGAGAGCCGCCAAGATCACACGAAAGAATGGCTTGCTGGAACCACGCGTCCTCTCTAACTAATAGCCAACACGGTAGCGGGAAAGGAAAGATTGTTTCTTATCGCTGTTTAGTACACAGCTTTTAGGCTGCCGTGCAGTCCATCATGAAAATATCCATTGACTATCTAACTGCTGTGTTCGTTTGTCATTTTACATCGTCCGCGCTCAGCCTCTGCACTTACACGTGCTGTGTGGGTGGGTGCGTGCTGTGTACTTTGTGCCCGCGTGGGGTACTGCTGCGTGCGTGCATGCTGTGACCGTCAACCCCAAGCCAGTTGCTGCTCAGATAGGCGCGGAGCACTTATTTCTAGCGTCGACCGCGCTCAGCCTCTACGCTTCCACGTGCTGCGTGCTTGCGTGCTGTGTGTTACGTGCCCGCGGGGGATTTACGTGACCTTTTCCCCCAACACAGTTGCTCAGCCTCTACACTTGCACTTGCTGTGTGCGTGCGTGCTTAGACCTTGACCCTAACCCAGGTGGTGCTCAGATACGCGTCGAGCGTTTATTGCCAGCACCGGCCGCGGCGCCCAGCCTCTACCCTTGCACTTGCTGTGTGCGTGCGTGCTGTGGCGTTGACCCTATCCCATCCCAGTTGCTGCTGAGAGACGCGGCGAGTGCGGCGAGGACTGACGCTCGTGCCTCGTTCGGGATGTTGATGGAGCACTGGCCAAAGAGGGCCGACAAGGTCTTGCAGGTGGGCGTGTAGCACACGTGTCTGGTGTGTAGAGGTGTCTACTGCTGTAGGTGTCTAAATAGGTGTGCGGTGTAAATGGTTGAAGCTCGTCCTGGTGGGGTGTTGCGATAATTGGCAAGCACTGACTGTTTGCGTTTGGGGAAACTGTATGGCCACATGCCGATGTTCGCTTGTACCAGCACTTTGTTGGTGTGGAGGTTTTATCTTGCGGGACCCGCAGTGCCCGTTGAGGTCGGCCAGCGAGATGCATACCCTGGCTTTGATCTACTGGAAGTCTTTCCTGTGTTATGATCTACCGGAAGCCCTGCGTGATTGTGGGGTGACTGGTATACGCTACTGCAAGCTTTGTGTTTGGGGAGACCGGCCGTCGTCTCGGGTGGAGCATGAAATGCTTTTTTTCATGATTTTTCGGAGGGGGCTTTCGAGAATACTTCGCGGAGAAGGATGGGGCTACTGGAGTGCAGCCTTGATTTTGATGCCGCTTCTTTTCCTGAAAAAGTGAGGTCGCGACCGCTGTAGGTGGGTTGATAAGTTGCTCGTATCTGTCGGTTGGTTGTGGGTATTACATACACATGTCTATACGATAGCAGCCATGGTTGAGGTCTGGCAACACAAGTTGGCTGACTCTCTATCTCTCTCCCCCCCCCTCTATCCCTCTCTCTTTCTCTCTCTCTCTCTTTCTTTCTCTCTCTCTTTCTCTCTCCCCCCGTCGCCCCCGTCGCCCCTCTCTCCTTTTCTCCCTCTCTCCACCCCTGCCTCTCGCCCCCCCACCCGTTGACGACACCCC